TTTTTTCCTCCCCTCCCCCCCCCCCCCCCCCCCCCTCCCCCCCCCCCCCCCCCGCCCCCCCCCCCCCCCGACCCCCAGGATCCGCCCCTGCACTGATCCTACAGTGTTTCCATTCATGGATGGAATTCATATCGGCTCGGGCCTGAACTCTACCATCTGGCAACACTGTTGCGCTGCCGGTTTGTTCCGGGAATAACAAATCCTATTCGAAACTTGACCTTACGTCTCTATATTACGTCATCTACGGTCGCCGACTCGATCTGCGTCACATCCCTGAAGGGCCCTGTGACATGAACCTGTAAGGAGTTATACAGCGAAGTTGAGGCCCTTTTAGGCCCTTTCGCTTGAAACGACATCTGTTGAAAAGCGACAGAAGTACTATTTTGCCGAGCCGCCAGTAGGGTCCGTAGAGACCCTACTGGCCTACCCTATGGCCGACCCTACTATGTTAATAGGGGTTAAAGTCATTCCAGAAACACTTCTCAAGGCACCAAAACCGTTCATCCATCCGGACGAACCTAGACACAAGATTAAGAAGAGGAGGCCGCCATGACAGACAGTGTTGCCACAAAACTCGCAGGAAACAACCACCTCAACCAGCCATCTCCCCTCAAAGTACCATTTTAAAAAGCCAACCGCCCTCAAACCACCCACTTTTACCGCCCTCAAACCACCCACTTTTAACAGATGATTAATTAAAATTTGTAATTAATTAATTAATTAATCTGTATGCAGCCAGCAGGAGAGCCTGACCCCCGAGTCCCTCTCGACCGCGCTGGTGCTCGTCCTCCCCGGCCCCCAAGAGAAGTTCACCGCCGCGGAATGCACCGCCCTGAAGCAGTACGTGGACGGCGGCGGCCGGCTCCTCGTCCTCATGGGCGAGGGCGGCGAGAACAAGTTCAAGACGAACATCAATTTCCTGCTCGAGCAGTACGGCATCTCCGTCAATAACGGTCGGTGGGGTTTTCCTTCCGCCGTCCTCTGCGCCGGCTGCGCCCGTTCGACGTCCGATTTCTCTTCCAGACGCGGTGGTACGGACGAACTACTACAAGTACTATCACCCGAAGGAGTGCGTGATCCCCGACGGGATCCTGAACCGGGGCGTCTCGAAGGCGGCCGGCGCCCTCACCGACGCCTACGCGGAAACATCCTCCGCCAAACAGTCAGCGAATATATATAATTATATAATTATAATATTTATCACACCGTATCGAATTTTGCCGTTCCCGTTCAGAGCCTTGACGTTCCTGTACCCGTTCGGCGCCACGCTGAACGTGATGTCCCCCTCCGTGCCGATCCTCACGACCGGCACCACCTCCTTCCCCCTTAACCGCCCGGTTTGCGCCGCTTACCAGGACCCAAAGACCCGGGGGAAGATCCTCGTCCTCGGCTCCCTCGAGTTTCTCTCGGACCATTACGGCGACAAGGAGGAGAATGCGAGGATCCGGGACGTGCTCTTTGCCTTCCTCACGTCCGATGAGGTGTCCTTCCTCAATTCGGACGCCGAGGACCCCGAGGTACGTCTGTGCTCACTTATTTATATCATATACAATATATTATATAACAATGTAATTAGAGATATGTGAAACATTAAAGATGAATAATACGATGAAAACCCTTAATTAAAAGACACTGGTGAGCCTAGGAAAGTGTTCGTGTTCGGGATCTCGGCATCTCGGATCTCCGAGACTCTCGGCATCACTGCTTGACAGTGATGCCGAGAGTCTCAACTGGAAACGTCGGAGCCTCATCGAAATTTCGGCGCCGCACATCCGCATAATTATTCTATACCGATAAATAAATTTTATATTAGCGTGAATTTAACGGTGAGGGCCGGAGTGGGCACGGAGATGAAAATGTGCCCGGCATCCCTGCAGATCTCGGACTACCACCGGATCCCGGACACGGGCCGGCTCGCCTCGAACCTCCGCGCCTGCCTCCAGGAGTCGGAGGACGTGCCGACCGACTTCACGCAGCTGTTCGACAACCAGTGCTACGCCATGGACACGCGCGTCCTCCCGGCCGCCGTGAGGGCGTACGAGCAGCTGGGCGTGAAGCACGAGCCGCTCAGGCTCATCACGCCGCAGTTCGAGACGCCGCTGCCGCTGCTTCAACCGGCGGTCCGTTCCATTTCTCAAATATTTTTAGGCTAAATTTTAATTGAAAAAATTAACTTTAATTTTAATATTAAAAAAAAAATTAAATAAATGAGGAAATAAAAATAAAATAAAAAAATTCATTAATTTTCTGGAAAAAGTCGTGGCAAGCGAAGGTAAACGCGGAAAAATAATAAAATCTGGAAACTCGGCCCTCCCGCCCCATCAGGTGTTCCCGCCGTCGTTCCGCGAGCTGCCGAACCCCTCGCTCGAGCTCTTCGACCTGGACGAGGCCTTCAGCTCCGAGAAGGCCCGGCTCGCGCAGATCACCAACAAGTGCTCCGACTCCGACCTGGAGTACTACATCCGGGAGTGCGGGGAGATCCTGGGGGCGACGGCGAGGATCCCGCCGGGGTCCCGGGACGCCAAGCGGGTCCTGGAGTTCCTGTTTTTCCAGCTCGTCGAGTTCAAGAAACTCAACCCGGTCGGTTGAGTCCGTTTCACCCGGTTTTAAATGGGGGGGCCGGAACCGATTGGTTTTCCTGCGTAGATGGTACTTCGTGAAAAGTAAATGGAAACACGTTAAAATAAGATGGAAGTCAATTAAAAGTAGATTGAAGTCAATTAAAAATAGATGGAAGTCAATTAAAAGTAGATGGAAGTCAATTAAAAGTCCGTCCGTGAAATGTATATGAAAGCTCGTATCAGCTCATATCTTTCCCTCTGAAACGTATCAGCTGACCTCGCAGCATCCCTCAATAAACTCTTTTCTTTCTTTCTTCCAAGGGTGGAGAATTCGCGGAGTCGGCAACCACTCTCACCGGGTCCCTGTCCTGATCGGGTCGCGGTGACGTCGTGCTCTAAGATTGAGACTTGACTGTGATGTTTTTTTTGTTGTTTTGTTTTTGTTT